GATGAGGAAAGGGAATCCTATCGTTTTATGATTAAGTTGGTATTTGGGAAATGCCAATTTGATACCAAAATTGTGATAATTTTGTCTTGTGTTCAGATAATGTTTATGCGACATTTCCCCAATGCAGCCCTGCCAGTTACTCAGGAACAGCCACCTATGTAGTGCCCCCTCTCTGCATGTTGTAACACCTGCGTGCTGGTTTATCTCTGCTTGAATAATCTTCTAAAATATTTCATATTCCTCTCTCTGATGGCTCCTCAGAAACCAAAATACTTAGAAGTGGTGTCTTATGGACGCATTGCTCCTCACCCTTCAGTCCCTCTCCAGGGCAGCTGGAAGGGAAATGGCAGCAGCCAGAGCTCTGGCGTTTTCTGCCCTCTGATTCACTCATCTCCACACCATGCCGTTGTCTTTAGGATGGATATACAATATCCATAAGCTTTTCAACATGCCCTTTTTCTCTCCCATTCCAGCTTACTGATATATGCTTTAGCTTACTGGTATAAGGTCTGCTAAAAGGGTGTTTTATTTACTTTTTAAGGTAGCTTTAAATTGCAATTTTTTAAAAAATGGCTTAGTATTAGTCCCACATTAAGATCATGTTTAGACTTGAATCCTTGTTCCAATTAACTACATAAAGGTCGTAACAAAAACGCCTGCACAACACTCTCATATACACACCTATATACATAGGCATGGTTTTCCAGTACACTAAGGGCTACTGCAACTGTGCTCAAGTAACACCCAGCTGCGCTCAAATCCGTGCTGATCACATCACAATCACAAAATCTCAGTGAGAGATGGAGCTGACGCTGCCACTTCGCCATCCCCTGCACTGTCCTGCATTTCACTGAGGATGCCGGTGGCGGGGCCGGGATGCCAGAGCCGCAGGACGCCTCGTTCTCATTGCCACCTTGCAGCTCAATGCAAAAATATGCCCAGCGACTCTGGGCACCCAGGCCTGAAAGCATCCTTTCTCCCTTCTTTTTAAGCACGAGGCGCCATCCCACAAAAGAAGGCGCTCTTGCCTTCAAAAGGTTTCTGTTCATGAGTCGTGGCCTGCCCTGAATCGGCTGCATTCATCAGCTCGCCCTCCATCGCGGGCTGCTCCCTCTCTGGCTGCAGCTTCGGCAAAACACCGAGCAAGAGCCAGATATAAATCTCTCCCGCTCCAAGGAAATATTTAGCAGCAAAATGAGTAGAAAACAAAAGACTTCTCTGTTACTCACCCAATCCTCTCACTCAGGGTGGCTCTATCTAACAAGCGGGCAACCGAACGCTCCTGCCTGGAACGGCTGTGCCAGGGGGATGGGAGCGGGGCTGCCCCACGCCTGGGAACCCACTGCCGCGCCCAAATGGCCTCAAGCACTGGCTGGGGAATGCAGAACCTTTTCCATCGAGTTCACTGCTTGGTAAGTGTGAGAGGTCTGCTTAGGGCAGTGAGGGGGAAAAACTTCCCAATGTTTCCTGTTAATTCTGCAAAAGGAAAACTCAAGACAAGTTAAAACAATTTTATGTACTTATTAAAAGCTGAGGAACATTAATCCACAGCTATTGGTGTTCCACTCTTATTTCCCGTTATGTAAGCTGTTCCGAAATCTAAGATATAGGATGCAGATCAGCTTTGTTCCTCTTTACTGTGACTTTGACTTTATAATTCAGTAATTCTCAAGAAAGCCTGGAAAGGCCAAGTCTCCACATGAATTTATTGAGATGACTGCACTCCAGCTCTCTGACACAGATACTTAACAGGTTTCTATTGTAAAACATTTATCACAGAGGGAGATAGCCATTTCATAAGCAGTAACACAAGAAATTCAGCTAAGCCATTTTACTAGAACTCAGGAAAGTCCTTTTTTGGGAAGGAAGAGGTGCAGGACGGGCATGTACCAGCATCTGCCTCACAGAGACACAGGAACCAGTAATACTCTGACTGGGGCTTCAGCCAAGGAGGGCTGCTGCTCGCTCCCAGCATGTAACCCATCAGACCAGCTGCTTCACCAGCCCAGCTGAATTTGCCACCCACCGGGAGTCGGAGCAGCAAGGTTCCAGGTGGTCGTTGAAGCTCCTGACAACAGTTCCCAGCAGCAGAACCAGAGCCTGCGAGGGACCCCTGGGCACACACCTTCCCTCTGGGCACCCTGCCTGCCCACGCAGCTAGCGACCGGCCCGGCCTGGCCGGCTGGTTTGGACTCGCTCATGGCAGAAACGTCGGCCCATTTTGTTAATCCAGCACAGCAAGGTAAAGAACTACATGACCCGCAGGAAGAAGAAAGAGATGCGAGGCATGTGTCCTTATGTTGCTGCTTGAATCCTTGCCCAAATCCCGCCACTCCTGTGCTCATTCCGTATCTTGCAAAGTGAAAGACTATTAAGCATCACCCACACAACTGAAAATTTCTTTACAACACCACTAGTTTAGCTCTGTATGAGCAGTAATTCAGTCTTTTATATTTGTTCATCTTCTATCTAAAGCAAAAGCTTCATTGTTTCATTCAGTTTGTTCCCAAGTTTTTACTGTTTGGTGCAATTATTATCTCGAAACTACATCAGTAATACTAAAAACTCTTCAGAAATACTGCCGTTCGAATTTTAGTCATGTACCAAAAGAAATATTACACAAAAGTATTTTCTTGCTTTATCTCTACAGTTCCTGACAAACTGCATCTCGAGGACTTGGATACAAACGTACTGGAAAAACCAAAACTACATGAATAGAGAAAACCTCAAATGGCCACTGTAACAGTCTATATACACGCTATACACATATGACTTTGAGAGACTGTATTCATGAATGGGTACAGTCTACATACTGCACACAGTTAATTTGTCTGAGGGTTGGGTTTTTTTTTAAATCTTCATTTTTTTAAACTACTGTCAGAAACTAGGAGCACAACCTCATGGTGGCACAGAAAATGTGGTTACTGGATTTAGTCTTACCCTCCGAGTGCCAGGGCTCATTAACCATGAACTGATTTTGCAAATCTGCCATTCAACACAATAATTTCTCCATTTTTTCTAATTGCATTTGTACATCTACAAATTGGTACAAACGTTTACAATAAAATGTAAAGTTCATTGATACAATGCCTTTAATGACAGTCATAACTGGTTACTAGCCAACTCCGTAGTTTTTCAGAGACATTTTTAGATGAACTTGGAAAAATAGGAAATGTATTATAGCTTAAAATCAATGTACGTAATATACAATATATATATTTATACACGTGTATGTATGCATACACATATATTGATATAACATTTAAAGTAATGTTTAGTTTTGATCAGTTCTCTGAGTGCTGGGACTACCTGGCAAATAAATCTAGAAACAGAATTTGTCCACAATTAAATAACCATTTCCACAACTTAGAAAAATATATTTTTACTAAATAAGGTTTAAATTAATGGATTTATGGATATAGCATGGAGGATAATGGTTTCCAGACTCTGACGTGATTAAATCTGGAAGAACCCGAGCTACTACAAACCAGTAGTGAACGCTGCCCCGCAGCCAAACACAGAACACCGAAATACAAGCTGCTGCTGCAGCCATCACCGGTGGCACCCAAACCCTCTCGGGTTCGGTCACCTCCCACATAGGCTTCATTTCCACCTAACCCAAGTCGCCCACCTGACCTCACACTCTGTGATTCAAGGCCCACTTCAACCACAACCACACAGCGCCTGCTGCCTTCCCCAAGCACAGCACCTGCTGACTGAGGGGAGCAGCTCCCCACTTCCACGCAGCTCTTGCCTGGAGAGCTAACATATCTTCAAGGTCCCTAATTAATGACTTGGAGGACCATCAGTACTTGAGCTTCATATGGATTTTGATCTACTGCATAGGTAAATATATTACAGCAAAACATACATATATGTGTGTGTGGTGTGTGTATATATATGTATATAAGTAAATATACATATACACATGTGTGTGAGTATGTGTACATTTCTACATAAAAAAATTCATGGAGCTACGGGTAGTAATGCGACATACCATGGTATCCTGCATATATTATCTGATGTTTTTTTAACTATATAGGCACCAGAAATAAGTATATAGAACAAATCAACCTTTAAAAATTAAAGTTAAATCAGTGGACAAGAACTTTGGTAAAGCTTGTCAATATTTATTTTTTTATTCAAATACAGTCAAAGTCTATCAGTTGCCATCACCCTCTTCACAAGAGGAAAGTGCATGTTTGGGTTTTTTTTTTAAAGAAAATTACACGTAAGGTGGGGCTCAATGATTCAAGGAAATTCTGAATTAAAGGTTTACATTTTTCAAAAGATTACTATCTTTCTGATGGAACGAAAGCTAAATAGAGTTCTTGTCCTGTATTTTATTTATTGTATGCATATATATATAAATATATATATATATATGTATGTCTCTGTTTAAGTAGCTGTGTGTGTATATACACATCCACACACTTTTAACACAAGAGAGGAACCCGTTTTTCTCCACTTTCTATGTGGAAACTTACACATTCCTCCCTGTCTTGTACCCTGTGCAGTATAAGCTTTAGTGATGAGGCCAAACAAAAAAGATATAGCTCACCATAGTATATTAGTTTACGTAGCAAAGTCACTTTTCAAGCAAGTAAAATAAAGCTCTGTATTCCAAACTTCTTTTCCTTTACATTTCTCATAAAGAAAAGGAAGGAAAAGGAAAGAAGGGAGGAGTAGGATTATGGCAGTAGCATTGAGCCAGTGGCACGTGTGCATGTGTGTGTGTGTGAGTGTGCAAGCGCACACACACACACACTCACAAGCACAGAAAGCAGGGCTTTGGTTGACAAATGCAGATTGTCCGGAGAAGGTGGATGCATGAGTAAGGAAGACTCTACAGTGATGCAATTGTATCTTTTATGTTTGCATGGAGTGAGAAAACAAATTCAATTGGGGGGTAAAAAAAAAAAAAAGCAAAGACCTCTTTTTAGGTCCCTCATCAGTGAGAGCATACTCAGTATGCTAGAGAATTTATCTGAAACCTTTTAAATCAAGGCCTCTTTATTACAAAAATAAAAACAAACAAACAAAAAAGTATGAGAGACGACAAGATGCTGAAGTGTCACTCCGATCGTCCCTGCAGAGAACAATTGCATCCCATTTATTATTCATTCTCTTCTCTCATTTCTACGATGTCTGTCATTTCCTCTGTGTGAGGCATGTCGGTCATTGCAGAGTCTTCCCCTTCTGTAGCTGTTTCATTCTCATTCCGCTTCTTTTTCTAGATTGAAATAAGCATTCAGAAACCTATCAGTAAGTTGTGCATGAACATAGTCCTACAAACTTTGGGCACTGGTAGAAGCGAGGTGGAATAATTTTTTTTTCCTAGAGTATGTTATTATATTATAAAAGCCTACAATATTTGTGTCATATTTGTGGCTTGTCACTAATAAGTTGGCTTAACTTAGAAGGTTTCCACAACCTTCCAGGGGTTCAGCTTTCTCCTTTCTAACACAAATGCAATAACAGAGGCATTTATTATACTAAGCAACATCCCAAACAGGCTTCAGTGTAACTGGAGGAGCATCTGGAGCCTTTGACATCATGGACTTTTATTTAAAAAAAAAAAAGAAAAGCAAACAAAATATGAGAGAAGATAAGCTGCTCTAGGAGCAGAGACAGAGGTGGCAACCTAATTTCTCGAATGTCAAACTTCAGGAATTTTAAAAGACGTAAGCATTCTGGCTTTTCTTGCTATTACAGATCCACTGTGATCCCCTACCCCACCAACGCCAAGTAATCATAGAGTAACTTTGCCTAGCAGGAGCAGGAGGGCATTCAAGAGTCCCATGATTCATCCAGGATGTCCTGGATTAGTAAAACTAAGAAGCATTCAGCCCCACTACAAAACAACTTGAAGCATCTGTTCCTTATTATCTGTTTCTCAGCAGACTGACTAGTTTTACAGAAAACACTTGTACAGCTGACAAAAATTCCGCCACAGGTTTATTGGTTCAGCTGAGTTGGGCATATCGGAGTTTCAAAATTTCAGAGGTGTCTACACAACACTAGATTTGCAGCTTTCAAACACCACCCACTTATTACCACTGTAGATGAAAACCAGCTGCTGTACACAGCTACTGGTTGGCTCTGCCACTGTCACATTGGCTGTTGAGACAATGCTGCCAGCTACGTACTAATTCTGGTAAGGGAATAAATTAGGCTGGCACAGTTGTTATTACTACTACCTGCACTCATCACTGCAAAAAATAAAGCACCATGTCACTGGCCAGAAACACTCTATGAGCTACTACTGTAACAAACAAATGATGAGGAGGTTAGTCCAAACAGACATATGTGGTGAAACCACAGGCCAAGAACAGTCATTTCAGTGTCTACAGGTTCTCAAGAAAAATGTGACAGACTAATGATGACAGAGATTAAGGTCTTCTATTTTCTTATGAACCTTGTACACTTTAGTTTATTGCCATGGCCCGCACTGTTAATACATATCAAAACTGCACTTAAGGCTTTTAGATATTCCATCTTCCGTATTTTTTTGCTGAAAAATAGAAGCGGCAGGTATCTTCACTTGACCCTTAGTAAGAAGTCTAATTAAATTAAAAAAAAAGTAATTGCATAGATTATATTTTCTGCTCCCATCCACAGCATCCTTCTGCACTATAGTATGATGTACACACTGTGCCGTTTCTGCTTGGAGCTGGACCTGGTGCCCTACACAGTGCCTTCAGCATGTAACTGGAAGGACACCACATGCAGGTACTGCGAGGTACCCAGTCACCCAGATGGTATTTATCTTGCACTTTACTTTTTATTTAGTGGAATATTCTTTGAAATCCACGTATCACTGCTACTCTGTACATGCAGGATTGTAGTGTGTGAAATATATAAGAGCATGCCTATGAGAAATCCTCACCCATTTAAGTATTTGTAAGCTCTTATCCTGTACTGCTGCAGGAATGTATCTTGTTTTAAGCCACTTCTTCAGGTGGCAGTACTGCTGCAGGAATGTATCTTGTTTTAAGCTTCTTCAGGTGGCAAAAAAAAATAAGGCAACTGTACTTTTTGTCCATTTTCAGCAGAGCTGGTTTTATAAAGAAATAAAAGTATACATACAGACACACATATACACATAATAAGCTTGGACGAGTAGTTCCTATGCCTACACAAAGAAGCTATGTTGTACTGCAGTGGGAGATCTACAGTGCAAAACAGGTGGTGGTAAGGACATGATAACCATGATACACCTTTTGAGGAGCAAGAGGTTTACTTCAGATCAGCGTGTCCCATGGCCTGAGCACCCACTAGCAGCTGGAGGGCACCTTCTGGTTTTATTTCAACCCAAAGAATCCCCAAGTTGCACATGCTTGAGACCGCACAGGGAAGCAAACCAAATTCAGTCAGTGGGGATGCTGGGGAGTTACATTTCAAAAGTGTACTCTTTAATCTGAACTAAACTCCATTATATTCATCAACTGCTTTCACCAGATCCTGCAGAGCCTAGTTCTTACCTGTTTCCGATAGACGTAACAGGCTGCTATGGCAACCATGGTGGATTCTCCTACAAAACCAGCCAGAAGGGATCCTACTCCAAGAGTGGCTCCATGAACTCTGTGGGTGGCATAAAAAGAAAGTAGTCATGGTTGTGTGAGAATGCGTGATTCATAATTATATTTTCACTGACATATAGAACCAATTTGTTGTTAGAAATATTTCCTTCAAAGACATAATACACTGTCAAAGAGAATAACCGTTATTTTAAAGGACTTTTGTGTTTCTTAACGGCTTCACTGTTTAGTAAAAGAATCACATTCTGAAGCAAATTAGAGACTAAGAATTTAAAGTCTTGTACAGAGCGCTGTAGAATACATTACTTAACTTAGAAACAAGATATTCTTCCATTAGCTTTCTTAACAGTGCATTTAATAACATGGAAATAAATTCCTCTTAGGACAGTTTTGCCTCTGACATTTGCATATTTTTTCAAAAGGGACATCACTATTGTGCCTGCCTAGAGCAGTCACACTTGCAAATTTGTAAATGTTTCATTTCCAGATATTGACACTATTTAGGCTTTATATTATGGTTAGTGTTTGGGGAAAATGTTCTGAGCTACGCAAATTCAGCTGCCAAGTGACAGAGAACAGGAATGAAGAGGAAAGTAAACCCATCAGCTCTGTGGAGAATAATGATTTACCCCAAGTAAGGCAGCACAATGAGACTAGTGATGAGGACGATAATCCGCAGCACTGAGCTGGGCGCCAACACAAATGTCTTCTTCAGAGTCATCAGCCAACCAGTCAAGTGCGCTCTGACAGTCACTGTTCATAAACAGAGGAAGGGGAGGGGATGGGGAGAAAGGGAGGCAAGAGTAGTAATAAATAAGTCAGTCATCTCATATGAAGCTTTTTCACGCAGAGAGCACTGTTCAGAAATAACCCTGGTGAAACTTGTTTCTGGTAACTGCACACTGGGAAACACTACCAGAAACGAAGTAGATCTTGTATCCAAATTGCTTTAATATACTGATTTTTGAAAGAAAAAAAAAAAAGAAGCCAGTTATGGACAGCAATCTTTCCTAAGAGCTGCTCTCTTACAACCAATGTATTAGATGGTCCATTCTGTTTTCCTCATTAAAAAAAACTTTCCCCTTCTCTAAAGAGAAATCATACCAAGGAAAATTTTCCACCTAGCTCCTGTGTGGTATACGGTGTAACAGCTAGGCACAAAAAAAGATGTCTATATGTACCTATTCTTGTATTTGTAGTTCATCTTTATTACAAAAATGTCCTGTCATAGAAGCAGAAAACACTATATGATGTAGCATTTAATTATGGAAGATAGAAATGTTTTGAGGAAAAACATTTTGATTATTGCTGTCAAGTTTGTCTCTGTCTTGAATAAGGGCATCAACTTTTATTTTTTATTATGCTCTGACGATTATCTGAAAGAGCCACTGAGTCTGGCAGCAGAAGGGGAGACTAATGGAGGTGATGTTACTGTGGAGGTGGTAGTAGATGCTATTCCAAATAGCTAACTTCAGTCTTGGCAGACAGGTATCACTACTGCCATTCATGCGTGTGTTCTTGACCAAGTGTAACAGACAGAATTCAGGCTTTGCTTTTGTCAGTCAGAAATCTGCTCTTACTGCAACATTTGTATCTTGACTACCAACGTAAATAGACTTGGTCTACATCAGCTTCAATAAAAGCAGTGTTACTTATGCTAGGCATGCATTTAGCCTGTCTTGTATGTACAGCCATGACCACATCTATGACCACACCTCACAGCTGGTTTGGTTTTGAGTTTTTATTTTCTTGGTTTTTACCTGGAAGTGGAAAGAAGGAGAAGATGCGCAAAGGAACAACACACAGCTCCGCAAAAGCAAAGTCCACTCCAATTATGTCAACTAAAATCTTCTCTGACACGTTTGGCGTCCAAAACATCACAAAACAGAGCTAGGAAGAACAAAATTAAGAAATGTTTGTATTTCAGAAGTCAAGCACAATAAAAGATAGGCCTGGCCCTCCTGGTCTAAAACATTTGTTTACATACTGATGGGCAGATAGCTCTACTGATGGTAAATTATAATTGGCTTGCATTCAAATATGGAGAGCACACATGTGTACGTATGGGAGGCATGTTAACCTCAGAAGCAATTCCTACTCTTCATGTTCCTCACATACCAAGACTGATGCATACAGAAAGAATTTTTAAGGTGCTTGCAATTGCTTGTCCTTGAATGGTTTAATTGTTACAAGAACAGCGAGAAACTTGATTTTTACTGTACTCGCTCTGGTTAAGACACCCATATTCTTAAAAAGATTATAAAGCATTTTAGCAACTAAAGATTTGAAGTACTCCAAGACTTACAGATCTGACCTAAATCTAAGACAAGGGGTTTAAAGGCACTGCTGATACTAGTACTGTTGGTATGCAATAAGCCTGATAGCATGGCAAAGGTGTTCAGCACAGCCCTGCAGACACGGTGCCCCGAGGCCACAAATCCACAAAGACTTGTTATTTTTATTAAAGAGCGTGCTGTTTAGTCCACACATGAAAGGAAAACTTACATAAAAAAACCCACAACGAATTGTACAGCAGTAGCACCTGCTGCTAAATTTTTTGGTCAATACTGAGGCAGGGCTTCTGTCTGAGCTGAGGAGGCTGTTGGCAGCTGGCAGGTCCAGCTTCGGTTCAAGGTACTCACTGAAGAACAGTGCTGGCAGCCCTTACAGGACTTTTCCTGTAAGAAGGGGTACCTGACATCCTTTCAAGTACAACTACTTTGTTATTTAACTTGGTTTTGTGATATTAAAAAAGTTATTTCTTCCTGTTATTCTCACAACAAAGCAGATGTTAAGGAATCAAGTTGACTGAATGGGGCAAAACTTGGGACCTTAAGTACTCTGGCACTCCTCTTGTCAGGTTACAAACCAGTGTACCAGGTACATTATGCGCACTGGCTGTACAATCTGATGGCTCTCTAAGACTCTGTAACCACTCTCTTACAATTTAGCCTATACGCTAGTATCATAGTATCTAGCTCTTTTCTTTTTATCCAGTTGTCACATCCCTACATGTTCAAACAGCTTTTAAAGCTAATCTTTAAAGTCCTACCACCTCCAAGACAGTTGGGATTTCACTCTCATTCTTTGGTTGTGTGCCAAAGATTGTCCTTTCTGTTTAGGCTACAAGTACCCAAACCACAGGAGTTTGCCAAGGCCTGCGACTGAGTCGCCTGTGGGAGGTCTCACATTCTGACTGCCTGTGTGGTGAACAAAACATTTTGTCTTCCTGCAAAAACGCTCATCTTCAGTTTTCTTCTCCACTTCTTACGGTAAGAACGACTATTTATCTTTCACAATTGAATGTTTTACTTGACTTATTAGACGCTGTCTTGAGGTGTATCTCCATCACCCATACAGAGAATAGTAAGTGGAGGAAGGGAAGACCAGAAGACAAACCAACTGAGCATGGATTTTTTTCTGCTTTATCCAGCACTTCTCTCTTCCTGCGAAACTACTTGTACAGAGTACAACTGAAGCAGAGGGGACAATCGAGAGCAGAGAAGGTTGTGTGGTTGAGAACCCAGTTATTAAAAATTAACTGTATAGTGGCAGAGTAAATTCCTTCATTGTTGCAGACACCATTAGGCAGACTGCAGTGATTTGTGCTCTTACTGTCGATGATCTGTAGAGCAACCATACAGGGCATATTTTGTCAAATCTTTCTTCAAAGTCCAGCAAACAAAATAAGAAGCAAAGGTGTCCACTCTTCAATTATAATTTGCTGTTTTCATGAAAGCAAAGACCTTCACACTGCTTGTACTGCACAATGCCATTACCACCCTACTGAGCAGTATAGTTACTGCTGCTGCAAGATTCCATACATTTATGCTAACAGCAGAGTCTGCCCACTGCTAGCAAAGGCAAATAGAGCAAACTTTCCTTCTTCAACAGCCATTTGAAAGAGTATTCTAACATGGTTAGACAGGCAAGCGATTAAGTGACCAAAAGCACTGCATTCAATCCTGTTCTCTTTGAAGTTAAATTTTGATTGTGGCCTTAACAAGAACAGACTCAATCTCCATCGAGCTCCTACGGGAGGAAGGTCAGTTTGCAAATCAGGGGTAATGACTTATAGCCAGGTGGCATGCAGTTACTCCTCAGCTGATGCAAACTGCAGTCTTTCCCACCCCCACCCCCCCATCAGCAGTGCTGACAAATGTCTTCAAAGAGCACTTCTTATAGAGCAGCTGGTAGATAAAGACAGCAGTGACTGCTAGGCTCAAGAATATGCAGTTTGAGGAGGTGAGGCATAGCAGCAGAAGGACCTTCTATTTCTGTCTCAGCATGCTTCCATCTTTTTTTGTTGCAATATTGATAACTAGTTTAATTTTGCTAAGATACTCCTCTCTGTTATCTTATAAGCAGATGATACTCTCATTGCCCACAGGGAACAAAGCCTGAGGAAAAGAAATTAATGCTTTGCATCATGCAACCCCTTTGCAATTTAACTTCTAGAGCACTCGCAACTTGGCAAATTTCCATATTATTTCAAGACAAATTCAAGATGTAGTGGAAAAAACCAGGCTTTACTTCAAGTAAACAGTAACACTAAATATATAAAGGAGGGAAGGTATTTTGGCTACTGATTTTATAACAGATAATGTATACTGAAAACAGGATGAAGTCAGCTTTTTTGTGATGCTGACTGGTCTGTCTTAAGTTTGTGATTACCTTGGTAAAGGGTGATGACTGATCAGAAAGAAGACTGGAGAAGACGGTAACAGATTAAATGATGCCAGTAGTCCAGCAAAACAGGGAGTGTGGCACATGCAATTAGAGATGGGATCTACCGGAGTAAGCGGTACTAACGTCCTGGGGCTCAGATTGGGAAACAATTTTAGGAAATAGATTCACCTATAGTACGTCTCTTATCTTTCTTTTAGTTAAATACCGTTTGCTTCCCCCTCCCTCTTATGTCTTTCTGTGTGTCTGCAAGGTTACAGCACAAATAGGCTTGGGCAGGGTTACAGTTATACCTTCATTTAATTTAATATCAAGAGGTGGAGTTGAAACAGTAAAAGCCTCCACACAGGCTAGCAACACGTATGCATAATGGCACTGCAGCTTCAGGTTGCAATTGCAGCTGGATGCAACGGGTCTATACAGTAATGAATATTGTACTTGGCAACTCTCCTGAGGCTGAAGCATTTTAACGCTTTGGGAGTAAGGATTTTGCTTGTGGAATTCTAGCAACAGAGTTGATTTGATTTTCTGTTACCTTATGGTATGAGTGCAGCATGATATTAAAGGATAGTTTTGTTAAAGCCTTTGGTCATTTATCCAGAACTTCAACTAACAGTGATGAATGTTTTAAAAATACAGGAAAAAATGAAGATACAAACAGGAGAGTGGAACACTACAGAGAATACACAGGCCTGAGTAAAGGCAACAGTATCTATTATGGTGGTGTTATCTCTGTATAAACAGTAGCCTAAGCATTTCTAGAAGTGTCTTAATCATTTGAACTGATCTGAAGAGTTGTGCTATTGGGTAATGTGTCTTTAACTGATCTACAATAGTAAAATTTGAAAGACTTTACTGAATATGTTAATAACTTGCAGCACCATAAGAAAATCAGTACAGCTGTACTAGATCAGACCAAATCTCCAGCTAGATTATCACCATCTCCCTGCTAAAGGTCACTGGGGGTTGCCTAGCAAAAGGGCACATAGAGCTGGGCAAGTGCAGAGTAAGAGATGCCCTTTTGCAGCTGCATGGTCTGAGCTGCTGGGAGTTACGGCTTCACGAGTTCAGTAACTGTGGTGCACCTTCATCCCATGCAGCATTATGTTATGTGTACAACATCTAATAGTGATTTTTTTTTTCAATCCAGCTGTGCATTAAAAAAAAAAAATCAAACCCCCCTTCCCTTGTGGCTTAGATGCTCTCTGTAAGTAGGTGTGCTTGCTTTCACGTGGAACCTTGCTGTTCTCAGCTAGCAAATTCAGTGTCTAGGCACATTAAAAGGTCACGCACCAAAAAGTTCTGCTGTCAACAAGCCTGAGAGAATGCACCAAATCTTTGTTTCAGTAGTCAAAATATCAAACTCCTAGTGCTCAGTCCAACTTCTCTTTAATCTTTTTTCTTAAGTCAAATGCATGAAGTGTACTTTCACAAATGATTGTGACGAAAGACAGTTCATGAGATTTTGTTTCAGATGCTGCATGTGTGAGCTTGAATGCTGGTAGTTCTTGGAAACTAAGAGCCTTTTCATAGGCCATGCATCTCCTCGAAGCTACTTCCATTTATTCTGGTTGCTGACAGGGATTACTAAACCTCAGAGACCCAGTACATAATGCATTATAATACAGTGTGCTAACAAAGGCGACTGTCATGTGTATAGTAATCTGCAGGGTGCTAGACTGATTTGCTTTTTGGAATTTGTAGAAAGCTGCCTGTCTTTTGGGACATTCCTTGATAAATATAAGGCACAAAGGAGTATTCCAGTGAGCTACGAACAACAGCACAGCATTTCTGGACTTCAGTGCAGTCTCCAGTTAGAAGAAACACTGCCTGATGACAAAGGCATGATACGGCTCTATGTTCCTCAGAAAGAAGCTATGGAATCCAAAACGGATGCTTTTAAAAAAAAGGTTAGACCTATTTTTAAAGCTGGTGCCTGGAATGAGACTGGACTAACAGATTCTACCATGGGGAAGGGTACCATTAGCCTGTCAACAGTTCCTCTGTGATGAAATGCAGTTCGTATTTTTTTCCTGCAAAATAAGTCTCAGCAGATGTTTCCTATCATTTGTGAACTTGCTGTATTTGCAGAGTTATGGCTGTCCAAGAGAGGTGTTTTACCCTCAAAATGTCATTCATTGTATTGAGGATTGTATCTCAACTAATTTAACCCATGCCTTGTCCATGACCTCTCTATTCCCATT